CTATTTCTTCTTTCAAATGTTTAATACTTGTAAAAGTATTCATTTGACATTGTGGGTTTACCTATAATGCGAAGAGATGGCGCTGCCTTGCAGCTTAAGAATAGCTAGAAGGAATTTCGACGCGGTCCGTGAGGGCCGCGGTAGCATAATTGGTCAGTGCATTCGCCCGGATTGCGAAGGGTGCGGGTTCGAGTCCCGTCTGCTGCCTGGTCCGCGTGGAATTTTTTCTAGTTATATTTTCTTTAGATTTAAACATCAAGCAGTTACATGCTTTAAAAATAATAAAAATTATAATTATTATTATTGTTATTATTGAATGCTATTTATCAGTGTTATTAATTATTAGTTAATAATTATGTTCAAGTTAATTGTAATTAAATTTAATTGAAGTAGATTATTAATATTATTTAATTAAGGACATTTTAAATTAAATTGCTATACCCTTTCAGGGTTCATGTGTCTGTATCTAATCCTTATGTAACATCTGTAATAACCACATGAGTGCAATAAATAAATAAATAAATAATACTACTAAATAGAGCATGCGCTCCTTCTTGCTAGCGAGCCCGCGGAGTGCTGGCTGAGTGTGGGAAGCGGGGCGAGATTTTCTTCTTATGATGACTTTATTAGAGACGAAGATTTAGCAGCCAAATTATAATTTCTTGTCTTTAAAGTCGAGGTAGAATCTGTTTTCCTAAAAGGTTACAGTATTGGAAAGGTTAGGAAACACTGATCTAGAGCATCTTTAAGGCACTGCCAACCCCATAAGGGATGTGGTTACCCCTACAGGTATGCCCATGTTTGTATTTGAATAGTTATACAAATTACATTAAATAATGTACGAACTTAACTTACCGATACAATCTCAGCAATATATTTATTTGTATTTCCTTTGTCATCCTTTATCAAATTAGGTTTGTTTTCTCTTATTCTCTCTAATGCTGCTGGGCAGTCTAACTGTAACACAAATTAAAAAAATGGGTGCGTGTACTTATGTAGGCGCGTGAGAAGTTATCCTTCTTTGGCATCGTTTAAAATTAGTTTTTAATTGCATGCAAATAATTAATTACAATAAATTAATAAAAAGTCTGGAAAAGGACACAGTCAATAAAGTTCAGTTTTAATTTGAAAAAATAAATAAATAATCAAAATATTCAATTAAAATCGCTACTGAATATAATTTATTAGAACATATGTGATTTGCACTTGCATGAAACTCAAACACGTATTCCGAATATACAAACTAGAAACATGTGGATAAATATTATAAATATGAATACCTATAACTGTTACTTTATTACAAAAAATAAAGATGTGGTTTTTGGTTCTACTACACCAATGGTCAAGAGATGGCGCTGTAGTCTCCTGAATCGCGCTTTGGTTCCGTTGTTCCAGATTAATAAATACTTTTGATAGGCCTTCACAATGCAGTCGTTAGCACCCACTAAATAGAGATTCTATTTCTATTTTTTTGGTAGATTTTCTTAATGTGCGGTAAACACAAAAGTAACAGCATGCTTCGCTTTAGCGACCAACTTCATGCTGTTAATTTTTGTGTTACAGTGATGCGCGCGCATCTTAAAATTTCACTCTCATCATTTTTTCATAACGCGCCTAAAGAAGTATAACTTCAAAAAAAGTTCTTACTGCTTGTTTAGCTATTGGCAGCTATTAAGCATCAACTAACCAACAAATAGTCAACATGTAAAACACAGCATGTTATTCATAGCAATTTTTATGGTTTCTAAACATTATGCATAATTGTATGATATTTTGGTGTTAAATATGGTAAAAGAAAAAATCCACTTTGCACATGAGTTTTACTTATTTAATAACAATAAAATAAAACTTAAAAAACCTAGAAACTATATACAATTTTTTTATTACCTTTGTTATGCTATACTTAGAGGAGTTTGCTGGCGTAAATGGTTAGCGAGTCCAGCTGTAATCTTGGAAGCTTAGCAACTTTTGCAGTGCTTGGCCATTGGATGGGTGACCAAAAATTTATTATATCCTCCGTGCCTTAGACAGCTCGCTAAACCATTGGTCCCGGCTGCTTCTGCAGTCATTAGCACCCATCAATCCACACAGCGTCCTTGTGTTGGGTCATCGCCAAATCTCCTTTTCCATCAACAGGTGTGTGGACATTATTAGATTGATGATGATGATAATGCTTTACTCACCCTATATTTTGTGACAAATGATTCTATAGTAGGAAATTCATCTCCCTGTACTTGTTTAAATGCAACCTTGTACTGAACGAGCAGACGACTGCATGCTGCAGTGTACTCTTGTGCTCGAACACAGTCTCTCATGTATGCCTTTTCTAGATGCTGCAATGTGCTCACTACTGCATACAATTCTGCCATATTATCATGCCTGTGCAACAATGAGATGTATCAATAAAGATTTGAATCCACCCAGATAGCAGGTTTCAAATCCTGTCTGGTGCCGGAACCATGTGGAATTTTTCTAGGAATAATTTGTTTACAGATTTAAATCTTGTAGTTGAATGCTTACAAGAATAAAAATACAATATACTAATGGGGTCTTGCGCGCTTATTTGTTTTTAAGATTTTGGTTGTTTGAATAGTATTTACAAATCTATATTATTTATATTATGGTTTTTAAAAAACAAAGATATAGTATTTTTGTGACTAACAGTAACATAATGTTCTAAACCTTAGTCACCTTTTTCTTAATACCAAAATTCATTGAACTATTCAATGGAGTGACAAAACACATAAACACAGAGTTGTTTTTACAATAATAACAATATAATTTTACTAAAAAAAACTTTTAAGTTGCTATTTATTGTACTTACTGAAGATTTTCTTCAAAATATTTACCTATTCTTCTAATTAGGGCAAATAATATTTGTAACTAAGCATTCTTTGTACTGATTGCATTTATTCATGGTTGCAGACTTCAACTTGCAGTGATGCTATGTTATTCAAGAGTATAACATTAATGAATGACTTACTTTTCACGTTCCCTGGCATTTCTGTGAAGCTTTACTTCCTCGTACAATTCAGGTCTTGTGTCTAAAATTATAGGTAAATAAAATTAATCACTATTAGAAGTGAATCATAACACGCCCAGTAAACTATTGATCCAGAATAATTACCTTGCATTATTTAGCTTTGGGAGAGTAAGTTGATTTAGTCTAGTGTAAATTGTAAAATTTTCTGTAGATATGAGCAATCACTTCATTAAAATTACATTAATCTTCGAAAAATTTCTGGGAAAAATTCATAGGCAAACAATAGTAAAATTTTTTGACATTGACACATTAGATATTAGTGTAGCCGTTCGATAGACCATAATTATATCGATGTCTTTGGTTGTCCTTACAAAAGCACTGCTATTTTTATTTGCTAAGCAAACAGTGCTAGATCCTTAAATTAACAGTAGTTTTAACTCTATCTCTTGAATCGATTATTAAAATTACATTGCTGTTGCCGAAACTGCTTTTTCTAAACCTTTCCTTTTTGATCTTTTGGGTATTTTTTGACTTTTCCTATTGTGATTTTCGATATAGATGTAAGATATCCGGCGGTGTAAGTGGGAGCCATAGACTTAAACATAATGAACTTTACTCAGATTTTGGATTCGACGGAATTCTGATAGCTTCAGCATACGGGAGAACGCTATCTATACACGTAAAATAAAAGAAATCCGGTATCACCATCTCTTTTACATGTGGGTATGGCGCTGTCCCACATGTTGGAGTTATTAGAATTCCATCCAATTAAAACTCAGAGTTTAAGCGATATTAGCATGAAACTGACAGCTCTCTAGAAAGACAAAAAGCAACAATGCAGTCAATACCTCTTTTTGAACTATTGGCTGCATGATTGATCGTTCATAGGTACTGTAAGGATTCCAGAAGGGAATTCTGGGAAAGCGTAATTTTTACTTTTATCTAAAGAAGAATACACTTATTACGTTTTATATTATATTCCAGAGAATAATTATAATATAAGTATTACAATGTTTATATGCCTACGCCCGTTTCTATCTGACAAATATCGAATCGAGACAAAAGGTTCACGAATTCTATCATTTGTCATTTTTATATGACTGCCAACCGTAGGCACTTGACAAGCAAAGAGGTTGTAACGCTGCGGGCGTTACAGTACCTACATGTTTGCCCATTTTTATTTGCCAGTTTAACAGTGTACACTCAGAATATTTTTTTATATTTATGCTGTGGGTCTGTCTTTTTCAATAAACTTCTCTGAGATTATCAACACTACAATAAATATCTTACTCCCAGGCGATCTCGACCAAATTAGCGTTTATTTTTAAAAAATCCACATTTGTAGTTGCACACACAGTCGAGAGATCAAAATAATGACGCCAAATATTACTTGATTAAATGAATTAAAAAACACCAATTTTCAAACTGAGGTTTACTATCGATAGTCATATGGTCGATAGCTTTGCAGCACTACAACAGAGTTGTTGACAGTGACAGTTTGTTTTTTTAAGGCTTTATTTTTTTAGCAGATTTGCTGGCTCTGGATCCCAAAAAAGGTATTCAGTAATAAAAATGTCATTTAATGTTTTATGCAATTTACATGTAACTTTTTTTTTATAACTGCGCACACCACACCGTCAACTCGTATGTATAACATAAAAAAAAACACATGTAACAAATAATTTTTCAAACGGGCAGAAATATCCTTTTAAGATTCTGTAAAATTGTTCTTAAAGTATTAATTCAACTTTTTTAACTGACCAATGGTAGTAGATCAGTTTTTTAAAGTTTAAAGAGAATTGACAATCAGGTTGTTGTTTTTAATACATCCAATGGTGTCGATTCTAGCATGATTCTCTAAACCTAAACTTAAATTTGACAGCAGTATATCCTTGTCATTCTCTATACAGAATGAAAAGGAGAGACTGATGTTAAATTTAGTTTTAAGTTTAGAGAATCACGCCAGAATTGGCTCCAATATCATCATTATTATAAAAAGGAATCATGTCCAGGTAGTCAAGGCTACCAATAAAAAAATATTTCTGTCTCGATGACGTAATCGCTTAATATGGCGGATGACGCGCGCGCTGGTTGGTGTCGCTGTGTACGGCTCCTCTCGTAATTCTGTAGATGATACGGTCGACAACCACTTGTCCCGAACGATTTCTCCTTTTTATGAATGGAATCTGTAGTAGCCGGTGATTAAATATAATACTTTTAACAGACTTCCACGCGATTGAAGTGCAAAACAGTGTAAAAGTTCAATTTCTCGGTGACAGTGTTTTGAGCGGTTCTCCTTTTTGTGCCAACACAGTGTTTACGTGCTGTAAACGGTACCTATTGTGTGAAATTGTTCTTTGGCCTTCTACCTTCCCATTTAATGGGATCTTGTTGATCAACAGGTAAGTTAAGTTAAACTTACAAAATCTTATCATTGAACAGAATGTTTTCTAGAGGAACCAAAAAAAAACTTGTGTTTTTACTTTGAATGTTTGTAAAAAAGTCATTGTTTGTGCACCGATCCCTACTCAGTCTCGGTTACGGTTGTTTATATTGTAAAAAATGTTTTATTCTTATTGGAATGCGAGGGTACTTACGCGAGGTGCGGGCGGGGCTCCTAGGCGCGGCGGCCGGTTGTCCCACTTTTGATTGATAAGTAGGCTCCATGAAATATTGACTAATCGCCCTAAAAGAACTTATGAAGATACAGGTGTTTCTGAGGAATAAACATGAATTAAAAAAATATTGTGGTTATAATTGTAATTGAATCAAACAAATGTTATAATCTGCATCATACTGTTAGGATGCAGATACAAAAAATGTTTGTTTCAATTATAATAATATAAAAAGGAAAAGCTTCTAAAATTGATGTTTCTGGTTGTTATAGTTTGTAGAATCCTCAAAATAAAAGATTCCTCTTTGCAAAGTTTGAATTGTACTAGTACATACATACACATATTTTAATTGCTTTTTGGTAGCCTGTTCAATTCATGAAAGAATTTCATAATTCATTCATATTAAATCACAGAAATTTTATTTATAAGTTAAAAATGTAGTGGATAAATGCATACACAATACTGTTTGAAATATTGCACTTATCAATTATAATATGGGATATAATTAGCACAATAGGATACTTCAAGAATTGAAAATCAGAAAAAAACTGTTGATGATGATGGCTCATAAAAAAATGCTAATTTTTTACTAATTATAAACAGAACTTCCATTTGTATAAATATATATTTGTTAATAACCAGGAATACAATTATAACTAATTAATAGTGTCAGAGCGGTTAATTAATAAGCACCTATTGAATGACTTGGCAATTAAAATGATAAATGTCTAGGTTTCATCTTTAAAAATAATTGTGAGCACACTAAATGAGAACAGGCATTAAGGTCAGTTAACTTTATAAAACTTATATTTTTTATGAGTGGCACTTGTTTTTATTTGTTAATGGTGGCACTGGATATACTATTCCTTGTAAGTATTTTGCTACAAAATATGCTGGTCTAGTACCCGTTGGACCCTCAAGATTCGACCCAAAAGCAAAAAGTGTCCACTGGACCTCTTTTTTGGTGTCCATTTGACCTTCTTAAAAAGTTTTATATTCAATGTGCCCATTGGACCTCATTTTTGGTGCTCATTTCGTTGGACCTTCTTAAAAAGTTTATCACTGTCATGTCTTAAACGATAAATCTTGAGGAAGCAGTAGATATATCAGCCCCCCCCCCTAGCATGAGCACCACTATATGATGTACCTATATCTCCTTTTTTGTCACAGTCAATTGTCAAAATTGTTAAAAAAGTTTTATGAAAGTTGCACAGCCATTGAAGGTCAGAGGTTAGACAGTGATTGAGCAGGCAGCTTATTATCATTTGCTACAGTCTACTCTCTGTAGTGTAAGCACCATGATAAACATATATCATGTTTTTTTATCATGCCAGTGAGGCATGCTCCCAAACTCCTAACAATTGACTGTGATAAAAACGTGATGTAGGTACATCATATAGTGGTGCTCATTCTAGGGAGGCTGATATTATGTTCTACTTCTTCAAGATTTAGCAGTAGCTTGAGAAAATATCTTAGTGCTTTATACCAAGCACATTTGGTAGCTAAATGAATACTAGATATAATATGTCCAGTGCCATCAGATCACACTCATATTATAAAGGCGAAAGTTTGTGTGTATGTTTGGTACTTATTCACATCTAAATTGGGATGTTCATAAAATTTTGGTATGGAGTTAGTTGACACTCTGGATTAACACATAGGCTACGTTTTACTGCGGAAAAATATTCCTAATAATCCACCGGTAACACCACAGGGCACAGCAAAACACACAGTAAAAAAATAATATAATCAACAATAAAAAAATATATAATGATGAATTCAGAATCTCCTCTTTTTGGAAGTCGGTTAAAAAGTTAAGCTCAACTTATAATTACTGAAACTCAATATAATAATCCATTTATTTTCATTATTATTTTTGAACACATTTATAAATCATGATAATTTGTAAGTCAAAATATTATTATTCAAATTGGATTCATAATCATCATTCATCTTAACTATGTTAAAAAAATTAACCTACCAATCTCATACATCACTACAATATTTAAGTTAAGAAACTCATTGTCTTCATTCCCACACAACAGGGTCTTTCACACATATAAGGTTGTTGCATCAGCTATAGTCATGTTAAGATTTTAAAGGGAGAGCTGAAAGTTGTACCTGAGGTGCACAATTGATCGACCTCACAGCATCATCCTTGACTCTTTATCACTTGTACATTTTGCCCTCGCTCGCGTGTCGCGGTGACATCAGCGCGGTAACTATGGCTGGCGATTCGGCGGCAATTCCAGCCTTCCTGATGACATCATGCAGGCGTCTCGTCCTGTTACCAGACTAATAATACGGGCTTAAAAGTCTTTTAGGGAACGAAGTATGAATGAGCAGCTCGCATGTTAGCCAATTGGTTACTTCGTTGCGACGTATTCGATATCTTTCGTAGTTAATGAATGAGTTTGGTCTTTACAAGGCCTTGGTGTGTGTAAATATATTATTCGGTAAGTTCAATGGCAATATTTTGTGTCATGCGCCGTCCGTCTCATTCCAAAGGGCGAACTTTTCCGGACTCGCTTCCTTCATGGACTTATCCAACCTAAAGCATCCTAAGTTATATTTTAACACATTCGACATAGGACGGGCGTAAAAAAACTCCTTAAAAATGCGTTTTTTTTAAGTCAAAATTTACTTTTGTTCGAATCTATTCAAAGATACGCGCTTCGTTTAACCGTAAATACAGCTATTCTCTATCTCTCTTATAAGATGCAGAATGTATTATAGGACTAATAATTACAGTATAAGCCAAATCCACGCGCCGATATTTTCCTATCCGCTGAATGTGTTTATTAAACTAATGGCGCGACTACACTTTGTCGTTAGCCCGAATTCAGGTGCCAATGAAAGTGTAAATGGACGGAGTCGAGTACGCCAGTATTCAAGTAGATTTCCTTATGTTTACCCGACACTGTCTTCCAGCCCGTTAGTTAGTTTTAGTTAGTTTTTGAGGGCGGTTTCCGCACTTAGTTCTAATCATTGGACCATTGTGCGTGTCTTGAAACATTCCCGTTTACTCCAGGCAGCCTAGGTTAGTCTAGAAGGAAAGCAGCCTTGGTAGACTGCTGCAAGCTTCTGGAAGCGATGCTGGCGACTGGAGAAGTCGTGCCCGTTGCTAGGCCACACTCCTGCATTCCATGATGACATGCTGTGGTGTTTCTTCTGCCTCTATACATCTCCAGTCCAGTCTTCCAGCCCGTATTTCAGTATAATATTGCTTTGGGTGTCCGAATTCGAGTAATGTCTTTCGTGCACGCTAATACGGGCTAACGACCAAATGTAATTGCGGCATAAGGTTATGAACTCACGGAGCGGTTTTTACCCGCACTCGCCGCGCCGCGGGCGGCCTCAGAGCTGTTGTAGAGCTGTGTGAACCTAGCACCCGACTTTTGAAAATCAATTTTTTTCTTAACGATTCTTGAAGACTTTCGAATGTAGTTGATTGTTATAAAAATTATTTCGTTTGTAGTAGCTTCAAAAAAAAGTTATGGGACTTCGAAAAATTGTTAGCACCCCGATTCGGCCAAAATCAAATTTTTTGATTGATTCGTATCGAGAATCGTCTGTTGTAGTCAAAACTCACGAAATCACAGCTTTGCTTAACAAAAGAATTCTGATTAAGCCCGTCGTGGGTGCAACCAACCGCGCACTCGGCGGGCGTAAATCGCGCTGTGAAACGTTTCATGTTGCGTTTTACCTACAATTTCACAATTTATATACGCGAGGTGCGGTAACGCTCGCAGTTGCGGCGGGCGCGGGTGGAAATCAATCGCACAGTGAGTTCTTAGCCTTATAAGTTCTTTATGTTAATAGTATGATAGATAAACCTGTATTTTTATTAATTAATTAAATACCTGTATTGACTTGACCAGTTCTACGAGTCTTACTGAACGGCGAACTCTATTTTTGAATTAGAAAGAAGAATTAACGATTTTTACAAAATAACAGATCTCTATTTTTTGTCGTACGTTATTTATCTTGAAATTTTGCAATTTTCTACAATATTAGTAAACTTTTATTAAATAACAATAATTTGATTATTTCTTTCCTAATTTGATTATGATGTTTGTGTGATGAATACGAGCATTTGTACTCCAGTCATGGATGATTAATATGTATTTGTATATAAATATACTTATATAAATGTACGGTATAATTATGTATTTTATCCGTTACCCTAGTATCCCATAACACAAGCCTTACAGTGCTTACTTTGGGGCTAGGCTGATTGGTGTGTGTGTTGGAAATATTTATTATTAATTTTTAATTGTGGTGTTCATCCTACGGAGACGGAGACTGGTGTCGAGTTGCGGAGAATACCCACCGTTAAGAAAAATTAGATATAATACTGAGTGCTGACTTAAATAAACCCATAAAGTAAAATAAATCTCAACGTGCTAATAAATAACAGCTTGCAGGGTGGTCCCACCGAATTCTCGTGGGTAACCAGCAGCCATTGTTATTCCGCACGGAGTCCGTGGGATTTGGCCCATTGATTTAAACCCTTGTTGAGTATGCAGGTGTCGTCGGTTTATAAGTTTCGGGTGACAAGTTCACTCGAACTTGTGGTACACTAGCAACTTCAGGAGCTCTATTTTTGAATCACCCGCCTGACATAGTATCGTCGAATGCGACATAAGTCACCTTCGACTTTCAAGTCGCATAATACTGATTTTCCGTATTTTTGAATCATTCGTCACCAGTGTTACCTGTTTAATACGAAATATGAAATTTTACTCATTTCACGCAGAAAAATTGAAACCGGTAATTGCCGCAAT